GTATGACAGAGTATTCGGGAACACTCGATTTAAATGAACTACGCAACATAAAAAAAAAGAGATTAGTATTCTTTGTAATCTTTGAAATAACGGGATAAAAAAAAAGTAATTTTTTTAAAGAAACAGAAATTTAGAAATTTGGAATGTCGTGTATAACTGATAATATAACTTTATAAACACAGAATTTGACAATAAGACGCAGTAAAGATTTGCATTGTTAATATATATACGTATAAATTAGTTCTGCGCCGTATTGTATAATTTTACGGGAGAAGGACATTCATTATCTACATTTGGAAGAGATCCTGAATTTGGGCTAACATGAAAATTACCATAAAATTTAGTTCCGAGCTTAACATTAATGCATGTGCTCATCTACTTGACATTTATATAAAACCTAAACTTAGAAAAAAATTACTATTTTAAAAAAAAAATAACTTTAAGTTTCGGTATCATGGGTATGAAACACTTGTGTGGGAAAAAAAAATATAGATAAATGAATAATACAGAATTAAAACCGGATTATTCTAATTTCTAAAAAAAACTTACGTACGTACGTACGTAAATGTACTGTAACAGGTATGTATTAATGTAGAAACAAAATTCACTTCTACGTATAAAGTTTACCAATGAACTGATGATCACTATATTTTTTTTCGGTGATACGTTATATGAGAAATCGATTAAGTTACCGGTAAATTAAAAAATACATTAATGACAAGATTTTAATTTATTTAATCAAGAATTTAATCAGGAATTCTAATATTATATCCATGGTTTATATGGTTTATATGGTTTTATATGGTTTTATATGGTTTATAAAAGAAAAAAACGCGCAGTTTTTTTTCGAAATCAATAATAGCTATCAATCAAATGATTTGAATCAATAATAGTTTTTGAAATCAATCAGTCGAATGGTTTGAAATCAATAATAGTTTTTGAAATCCAATGATTTAAAAATCAATAAAAAAAAGAAAACGGTAAAACAACGTACCGAACATTCGAAGATCAGTTAAGAAAAAAATAGATCAATTTTAATAAGGTATTTTAATAAGGTATTTTATTAAGGTATTTTAATAAGGTATTTTAAAGGTATTTTAAAAAGGTATTTTAATAAGGTATTATTAAAGTATTTTAATAAGGTATTTTAATGGAGGTCACAATGAATCAGCATCAGTTATCGATAATTGGTAGTTTTTTAATGTAATTCAATGATCAGTGAAAATAATTATGCAGAGTGATTAAGAACATCTATTGTATTCTAAGTTCAAAAGTTATTTCTCTTAATTAAAACAATTGTTAGACGAACAGAAAACACCTTTTTCGGTCTCTATTACCGCTGAATCATATTTGATTATATGTAACTTATGTATGATAATGAAAAAAATAAAATAAAAAATTGAGGGATTAAAGATAAAAAGTATCACAAGGTCATTAGTTAGCATATAAATAGATTAACGCAAGCATGCTCCAATCGTTTCGATTGATTATTTTTCAATACGTCAACACCAATAATCAGATCACAAATATTTAAAATTGTTTACTCTAATCCGTTTCGGGGGATCGCTTTATTGTTTTCAAGGTCAAGTCTCTAAACGCATTTAGGTGATATTTTCAGTTTATCATAATTTTATTTGTACTACTAAAATAAACGCACTAATTTATTTATTCACAAATTATTTTAGTAAACCAGAGATGAAATACATAGTTATGTTTTGCTTATCATTGTTCACAAAATTACGTATTTAATCTTAAAATCACAACACAATATCACTTTTAAGTGAGCGTCGAACTACTTTTGAGTGAATGTCGTTCGAACGATATTCCTTCTGACATTTTTGATTTAATACCCCTCATGAATGTAACACTACGTTTATCTTTATTAACTCTATATATATTCGTAAATATTCGCCATCGTACAACATAAAGTACAATTATATGCGAAATGCCGGTTGCAATAATTTGTAATAATTTGTCGTGTCTCAAAGCACATAAATTTGCAGATTTTTACGATAAGTAGTATAAGTAACAAAAAAGTAGCAAAGTAGCAAAAAAGTAGCAAAAGTAGCAAAAAAGTAGCAAAAGTAGCAAAAAAGTAGCAAAAGTAGCAAAAAAGTAGCAAAGTAACAAAAAGTAATATAGTAATAGAAACTAAATACAGTATTTAATGATAAATTACAAAATTTTGATTGATTTTTAATATACTCCATTACATGAGACGTGTCTAGAATTCTATTCTAGAGCCTAAATTTAGAATAGATTAATAAGAATTAAAGCAGTTATCACGTGATATTATATATACAGTAATTACTTTAGTTTTAAGACAGTACAAGATATATAGTATAAGACAGTATAATAAGCAGTATAAGGCAGTAAGATAAACTCAATTTATCACGTGTAACCTCCGGGATATCTAAATCGATAGTATATAAAATATTATACGTATATATATATATACTTCTTTTGATTTAACATGATTCCGGAATTGGATAACTGTCTGCGATCGTGATGCTCATAATTAAAGTTCAACATTTTTTTTTTTTTTTTTTTTGATCAATGCTTACATAAATGCGTTACCGTATATATGATTTAATAAATGACGTATTGGTATCTTTAATTAAAATGAGAAATCTTTAATCCTTTTAGTTAACCATTTTGGTAAGTTTATACAAGCAAAAGAAATTAGTAACGTTAAGTCAAATGTAAAATTTAGACAGAAACAAGTTTAAAATTTAAACAAGCAGAGAATTAGTAAGCATAAAATTTTGAATAAGCAAGAAATTAGCAAGTATAAAGGTTGAATAAGTAAGAAATCAGCAAATATAAAATTTCAACAAGTAAAAAATTAACGAGTATAAAAATTAAAAATTTGAATAAACAAGAAATTGACAAGTGTAAAATTTAGACAAGTAAGAAAAATTAACGAGAGAATCGAAAGAAACTATTTGAAGTATAGCATTCAAAGATACTGTAAAAATATTTGACCGTGATTTGCTCAAAACAGGAAGTTTCGGAAAAAGGTTTCAAGAATCCACTTACATACTGTATGTTTCCTTGTTTAAAAATAGAGGATTGCCCTGCATGCGTCCAAATTATGCATTTTCATTATCCTTCTTTTGTTACCAGTCACTACTGTATTTCGTGGTTCCCATTATTATTTATCTTTAATCTTAGTGTTTAATAATCTTAAACAATTAAACAAAGAAATTTATCTATTTCCGGATCGACCGTTCGAATACATTTACATATAACAATATTTTAGCCTATAATCTACATTTAATAAATTTACATAAATATATATACATATACGTATATACATATATATATTGTACGTATATATATATATATATATATATATATGTATGTATGTATCTTAAAACTTTAGCGTTATGTAGAATTTTTTAAATCTCTTAAATGATCGACAAGTCAGAGAAGAAAAGTAAATGCTATCAAAGAATTTATAAGGCGATTATTTCCGACCGAATCATCATTTAAATATTTTTCTTTTATAGTCGGTGTATTGATTCGTGATGTCATTACGAATATATATATGTTTAATTAATAATCTTTCGAATTGTATTTCTTACATTAAAATAGATCAATTTTATATTATACGTATATATTTTATATATCAGATATATACTGTATATAAACAATTTATTAGATCAATTTTTATTTAGAATATATAATTTTATTATGAACTTTTTGAGAGAGTAATACATACAAGTCCAAGAATGGTCGTTAGTAGAATATCATCAAATCATCGACATTTCATATATTGAATCAGCCATAAAACATCACTTAGCCGTTATTGTATATTTCTGTATATATATATATATATATATTATTATTATTATTATTATTATTATTATATATATATATATATTCCTACACAGATATATTTGTATATTGTTATTATATCACAAACATGTTTAAATGTGTACAACTTAATCTATTTATTTCATTATTATTATCTATTAATATACCCTGAGGCTTTTTTATTACGTAATGTATAGTTGATCCCGTTTAATCGATATTCATTTCGTCAATTAAATTTTCGACCCCCCAGGGTTTTCTTTATCCTTAAGTTTATTTTTGAATGCATATTTATACCTCATGTTGTCCTCTTTTTGACTTTCATTTTAATTCTCTTGAAGCATTAAATTCCAATTCTTAATCCCTTTTTTTTTTTTTCGCTAGCTGTGGGTTTTTTTTCCTCTTAGTTTTTTTTCATTTATCAGAAACTTAACGATTGACCTCGATAACTTACTTATGCAGATTGCTTATCACGGTAAGAATCTCCACTTAGTTCGGTCGTGTGAAACGAAAAATTATTGTAATCACCATTATGTTTATTTATTTAATCTTCGGGACGGCGACATATGCTTGCATTAAGAAAGTATATATAAATATAAAAAAAAAAAAAAAAAAACCCACTTATATATAGCCTTAATTTTTCTCCGTTGGTCTAAACATACATAAGTTTAGTTGACGTACAAATTGCAATTGTTTTCTTCTCCCTATAAACCCGAAACCGTTTAGTGTTTTGCTTATTTTATTTTATTTTTCAAGCATATAACCCAAATAATTGTCGCACGAATAAAAAAAAAATAGTTACCTATTTATTAATCAATTCTCCTTTTTTCGTCCCGTACAACCTTTTCTACCGAAATATATAAACATCCAGCTTTAACAGTTCGAAATTAAATTCAAGAAATCCATTTCTTCTTATAAGCGCGTCGGCCTTTACGCTTCCATCCCCGCTTATTTTTTAATAATAATAATAATAATAATAATAATAATAATATTTAATTACCCTGTTATTTTTCTGCAAGTCTATGTTTAACTTTTCATTTTCGGAAACATTTGGTTGACTGACTTTTTTGCGGAGGAAAAAAACCCATAGCTTGCTTAAAAAAAAAAAAAAAAAATACTAATAATAATTTATATATATATATATAAATATATATATAATAATAGTAATAATAATAATAATCGATATGCCACAATGTGCCATTAGTTCGGTAAGTTTTTCAAGCAAGATGAATCGTTTGATAAATAATAAAACAATATCAAGTACAGAAGTATAACTAATTAACTATTTAAAAAAAAAAAAAAAAAAAAAAATTATATCTATATATATATATATATAAATATATGTATATTTATTTATTTTTTTTTTTTAAAAAAAAGTTGGCATTTGCTTCAGGAGCAATTGCTACAGCAGCTGGCGTTGGATATGTTTTCGGTCGTCCAGCTAAACCAAAAAATTCTTCACGAATGTCAATACAGTCAATGTCGACTATCTCAAATTCAAATTCATCAAAAAGTCCATTTAAACGATTTAAATTATTTCTCTCAAAAAATAAACATCTTTCTCCTACAAAAAATGTTTTAAATACAACTACTGTACATCCTTTAATGGTTCATCTTGATAACATTGATGATGATATTTCATCTACTTATTCTGATGTTACAAGTCTATATACTATGGATCGTAAAATAAGTTCTACTCCAAATATACCTGGTATTTTAGCTCAAGCTTTTGATAGTTCTTCAGTTGTTGGTTCTTTTAGTCCTAGAGGTGTTGAAACTTTACGAGAAGAAGAAGAAGAAGAAGAAGATTGGGATAATGGTAGTGATGATTTTGTTAACCCTCCAAAAGAAAGGTCTTCTTTACCAACCATACCTCCTATATCTCCAATATCTTTGACTCCTCCAAAGTTTCGACATAATCGTTCTAATTCTTTACCTCCATCCGCTATTCCCAGAAGTTTTTATCGACAACGTAAATTACTAATATTATTAATTAACTATATATATATATTTGTGCTTTATTCACGTGATTTTTATTTATAATAGCCACTCCGAGTGAAAGTTGGGATGATGACTTTGAATTTGATGATAATGATGAAATAAGTGTACCAAATTCTGTTGAACAAGCTCAATTCTCTTTGAGAATGGATATTACAAATATTCGTGATTTCGTTTCTCAGATTGAAGGTATCTAAAACTTTGGTTTCAAATTTTTTTATCATCTAATTTATATATATATATATATATATATATATTTACGTTTTTTTTTTTTTTTTTAATAATAGAATTGAAAACGTTACGTAACAAAAAACAGTTCCTTGCAACAACAGTCCAATCAAAGATTACAAGGAAATGGTCAAATGGTTTCACTAAATCCAAAAAAAAGAGTAAAAAATATAATGATTTAGAATCACGATTTAAACAAGATTGGGAAGAAGCTGCTGTTATAATTGATCTTTCTGATGTAGCAAAAGACAGACAACCAACTTTTGGTGGAGGAAAAAGAGTTGCTGTTGATATTGAAAAAATACCTTCTGAAAGACATATGCAAGTATTAAAAAAAATTATAGTAGAAGAATTAGGTGAAAATGCTCAAGATGTAATATTTATGGATGATGATAAAGAAAATCGTTATGATAGTGATAATTCTGATTCAATTTCTAATAGTGGTCATAATACGAAAAAAAAACAAAAATTAGCTGATGGCAAAAGTAAAATTAATAACAGTGATTCAAGACGAAAAGAAAATTTTAGAATAAGTGTTGAAGTAATGCCAAGTTTGATTGATCATTTAAAAAAATTACAAGATCGTTTATCTGAACATGTGGATAAATTAGGGGCTTTGGCATCTAATGAGGGAAATTCTTAATTATCAAAAATCTTCTCTTTTTATTATGCTATAGTTTTTTTTTTTTTTTTTTTTTTTTTTTTAGATCTTGGACAATGGACTTTTTTTTAAAAAAAATGAATTAGTGGGCATAAATTGGGAAATACAAAATATATATATATATATATTTCTTATTATTTTATAAATAATTTGATTTTGTAAATTTTTTTTTCTTCTTTTCTCTGTTTATATTACTTTTTCCCCTTTCTTTAAAAATTACCCTTTTTTAAAAAATTACCTCTTTTCAAAAATTAACTCTTTATCGGTTTTTATTGGTTTATCTATGCGGAGCGCGGGCAATTTAACATTATAATTTTCCACAGTCTATATATTATATAAAACCTTAGTATTTATTTAATATATATATATATATATATGATAAGCTTTAGTACCTTTTTTCTATGAAATTTGAAATTAGGCGTTATCCATAAATTTAGCGCGGTTGTTTTTTTTTAAAATTTCTTTCTTTATCCTATTCACTCCTCACCCTCTTTTATGTATAAGAAATGCCCGTCAAAAAAAATTATTCCTTTTTTGTAAATCAAAGACATTTGCAAATTTTTGTGTATAATTTTGACCACTATCGCCACACCACCACCATCATCACCATCATCACCACCATCGCCACCATTAATTATCAAATACCACGTTACTATTATTTTTTTTCTTTCTTGTTTGTTGTTATCTTCCTTCTTCTTCTTCTTCTCCTTCTTTCTATCTTCTATCGTAATCTATAAAATAATTCACATTTTTCGACGTTAATTGGCCGTTATATTTCTTTTTTTTTCTTTTTTTTTTTTTTTGTAATTTATTTTCTAAAAAAACTCTTGTATATTGCTAAAAAAAAATGTATTTGAATATATTTGGGTATATCGGATCGTGATGTATACTATAATTTGATTAGTTTTTTTTGCTTAGTATAAATACAGTCAACCCTCCGTAGGTGACATAATCGCAGAAAGAAGGGAGATTGTGATTTGGTCCAAAATCCGAAACTTTAATAAATTGTTCTAAAAATTATCGGATCATTTTTTTATTTGTACTGATCAAATTGATGTGCACTTATCAGTTATAAGAGGGAAAATCGCGACAAAGTGTACTTAACTTATAAATGGCTTATGAAAGATTGACTGTATATCATCAGATTATCGGATTATAAGAAAGCACGTTAACCTTTAATGTTAATAGAAATCATGTGATAAGTGTTCTAGATTATCGTTATGCGCTATGTTATGTGTTAGGAATTTTTAAAGAATTTTTGAAAAATTTAAAGTTTATAAAGTTAATAAAAGTAGTTAATAAAAAAAGTTAAAAAGTTGATAATTATAAAAATCTTTCCAATTTCGGACATTTTATAAATCACATGTACACGAGGTGCATTATACATAAATTTTTTTCGGTTAAATAAATGGGACCTACGAATCCTAATTAAGTAATTTATATTGTAAAATTTTTTCGCACTCCTAAACGGTTCTCAACAAATTTAGGAAGAGAATAAGTATCAGGGTGATCTGATTTCAGTGTTTCGTTGTTCAAAATTTTCTTTTTTGTGTAAAATAGTGAATTCCGAGTTATTTGTAATATCAGGTAACTATACCTATTTTTAAAGCTTAAATCTATTTTTTTTCTGTTCCCAACTTTAATCCGTTATCGGTCATACATTAATTTGTTAACTATTGTATGTAATATTGCATTTATTTTAATACAATCATTATAATTTAAAACACGTGGAATAACTGCATATAATTGAGAATATATAGTTAAATATATATATTATATATATATATATGTTAATATTCTTTAAAATGCTTTCATCAAAACTGTATTATAGATTATTACGTACTGTACAGCATACATCAGAAATAGATACCCCTTACGGATTATCAGCTGAATTACATAAAGTAATTGTTATCACAACTTTATATTTGTCGTGTTGATATAGAACTCTACAAGTATTATACAATATATTAAAAATAACTCATTCTTTTTAATAATTCTTTTTTTCAAAAAAGTTTAAATTTAAAAAAAAAAATTTTTTTTTTGCGATAAGTCGGAACTTTACGGATTGACACATCTTCGTTTTTCGGAATAAAGAACACATTCGTAAAACTCATGTGATATCACTAATTAAATGACTAATTAAATGCATAAACAATTAATTTCGTAACATTCTTAAAAAAAAAAAAGATTCAATAAATTTTGAGTTTTTTTTTATGGGGAAATTATGCATAATTACGCGTTTCCGAAGTACGTACTTGTGTTTAAATCGAAACTTCTTTGATAATCAATTCATTCATTCATTCATTCCAAATACTCTCGGATATTTCGGTAATATTTTTATACTTATGGTAATTATATGATTTTACGTATGATATTGCTAGGGTTGGTAAGTAGTGTATTTTTTATTCGAATAAATCAATTTTATATAAATATAAAAAAAAAAAATTTTTTTCTTTGTTCTTAATAATTACAATTATATATCAAATATACATTGTTAGAATAAAAGGTTACTATAAATTTGTATGATTTAATATTCCTAATGATAAACTGGAATAGGCGAAAATTTCCCAACGCAATGGCACACTAAAAATGCCAATCTTAAAAATATTACATAAGAGGATCGGATTGATTCGTTCAGATTTACACTTGATCATATGAAGATAGCTCTCGGTCACGTGAACATGGTAAATCTATAATTTCTTCGTTGTATATGTTTTAAGGAAAAGTGACTGAAAAGTGACAGATAGAAATATTGGCCAAGAAAGTTCAATAATCAACAAAACAAAAAAAGTCATAATGACATAAGTGCATTTATATGCACGCATGTTATATAGTCAATATATGTATGCAATTACTTAAATCCATAGTGATAATAAAATATTCCTTATTTTTACGTAACTCATGTTTATTTATTATATTGTTATTAAATTATAAATTTTATTATTTGCTTGTTGAGAATTTCAAAGTACAAGAATGCTTTACTTGAGAAAAAAGGTTGTTTTGTTACCTAGTGGCTTTGTTTTGTGAACAGTGTTTTGAGTACATCTCTAGAATTTCATGAGTGACGAATACTACGTAGGTCTGTAAATCATTTATTTATCTTTATATATTTTAATTAATTAATCTATTACCATTTTTATTTTACTAACCCATAATTTCGTCCCTTTTGTAACACCAAAAAAGATCTTATGACCATAAACTACCAATTTAAATGCGTAACATATAAGAAACTTGTTATCTTTCAAGTTTACTCGCAATTTTGATTGATTCCAAAATTAGACTTTTTGAAAATCATAGAACATATATATATATATATATACTATATATTCGGTTACAGTCATAAACATCAAGAATCAAACGTATCATTAGAATTGTCAGAATTATATACATTTAAGTACGCGCATGAATATTTTTCATATATAGACCTTTATTTTCTTCATTCGGGTTTAAGCATAAATATTTCTCCGTCGAATCATAACTTAAAATGCGAACGACGCCAATTAAAAAATTACTATTCCTTCAAGAGTATAGTGCATAAATACGATTAATGTGATTAATTACCATTACTATTCTACCGAAGAGAAAAATGACAAAGGTTCAATCAGAATCATATGAGGAACATATTATAACCGGATACTGCCCCTTAAAGTTGGCGTTTACTTTCCCCACAACTTTAATTCCTGGGTTAAAAGTAATTTATGCCAATTTTATTACCATAAATTGAATAAATAAAACTTTGCAGATCCTTCTCATTCATTTGTATATACTGTATTTTGTGTAAAATTTACTTTTTTTATTATAACATGTGATATATAAATGTGCCAATAACCACTAAATAACTACTAATATTTATATACAATATATATATATATATATATATTATTATTATTATACAGTATGTATTTAATTATATATTTTCCTTGATATTTGTAAATACCCAATCACAATTCACTACAGTCAACATGATAATAGTGTTGGATGTATAATCTTTGGATAACTTTGAATAAACTTTTCGTACTATATTAGCAACTTTTCCACTTGGACACCAAATATGTAATATTTGTTTCCATATTCGTGCATTTACAATATTTCTTGTTGAAGAATTTACCCCACTTAATTTTTTAGTTAATAATCGATATGCGTCATGTTTTGTGTATCTTCGACGGTAAGCGAATGCTCGAGTAACTGAAACACCTAATGAAAATATAGTTGAATAATTTGGACGTCGAAAGGTAACAAGGTAATCGGTCATTGGTTGATTCATGAAAAAATATTCTATTTCCATCTATATATAAAAGAATTATTATTATTATTATTATTATTATTATTATTTATACATACGTTTAAAATCACAGTATTATTATTATTATTATTATTATTTACCTCTGTTTTATTTAATTCTACTCCCAAGATCCTTTCCATAATTTCACAAGAAAGTATCTCTGATAATTCACTTTTACCTCCTGCATTTGGCAACCTACTCATTCTCTTTGCTCCAAATCCCCAATTAATATCATTAAATAATTTTCTATGTACATTAATATTTAAACTAACAATCTCATTTTGATTTTTATTATTCATACCAATATAAAGATTTGTTAAATCATTTGGAGATGTATAAACTGTCATATCCTTAAAATTCACTGAAAAATGGTCGCCATATTTTATAGAATTGGTTGAGGTAATAGTGTAAGGAGGAATGGATATTAGTTCCTCGTAAAATAATTGGATTGGATCTCGATAACGGTGACGGTTGTGAGGTGTCGTATGTTGGATAAATCTGCAGTCCGATTCTACCAAGATATTCCCGTCCCATTTCTTTCCTGCTTTCATATTGACTGCATGCTCGGTTGATGAAGGTTCCAATGATGGATTCCTTCTTATCGTTGAATTCAAGAGCAAACCGAGAGAAACAACTGTTAGAGTTGACCATTAAGCCAACGTCTTTGGTCATTTTAGACCGCGTAGACTTTGTGGTGTTGGTTGTTGTCATTGTTTTTACTTTGATGATTTTTTTTAAAGTTGTGTTATTTTATGTTAATTCGCTTTAAGCAAGAAAATGCTTCAAGTAATACTGTAATAATGATTAGAGAAGATGTGATTTTTCTTCAAAAATTTTATTTTCATTTTCACCGTTATTTTATATTTGTTGACTGCGGTAATTGCGGCCAAAATGATATTTTCTGACTCATTATGTGTACAACTCGGAGTTAATACTCATTTTGCACATGCTTAAAATTTAGATTGAATATGGAAATTCTGACGTTAATAAATCATTTTCCGATTGTACTCATGATATTTAATGAATCCACCAAAGACTTCTAAAATCCAAAAGTTTAGACACATGCATTTGTCAATCACCCTGGATTCTGTAATTAATTTTTAATTTTTTTTTTTACTTTGAAGATTTTTTGGCAACTATCGACAAAAAACAATTATATAATCATATAAACTATTCTATGCTAAAAAACCTTTAAAAAATTTTAAAATTTAAGGCCATCACAAATATTTTAAAGCGACTCACCCGGTCGGCCTTTAATTTCGCATAATTCCCGGACATAAAAAATTGTCAATGATCGGAATTGATGAGTTTTAATTTCGGCCGACGTCATTAACTTATCTGTTATTAATTCGGTCATAGGAATGTTAATCGGTCCCGCAGTGATTGTCAGCCGACTTTGTGCAAGATTTGTAAAAAAATTGCGTCCAATAAATAAAATTATAGAAAAATCATTTTTTTCTGTTACATTTTCTAATACTGTAATAAAAATTTATCGGCTTTGCATTAATTTTTGAGCTACTTAGATCGATCCCGTCTAAATTACTCAAAACATTAATGCAAAAACCGATAAAATTCAATTAAAAAATGTAACATAAAATAATTTTTTTATAACTTTACTTATTATTGCGATTGGAACCGTTATTTGTTTAACCGCCTTTAACCGTTTATTATATTATACGGTTAAACGAGTAAGATATTTTATAAACGATTTTTAAATTTAATTATATATATACTGTAATAATCGTTTAATGCCTCACGTGGATATAAACAATTATGCGTGTGGTTATTTCATAACACTGAACCTTATCAACGTTTAGTCAGTATAACTAGATTAAAACCTGAAAGTGAATATTCAAATTACTGTAGCGAACCGATCATATATTTGTGATTCAATTACGTAATATTATAATTTTTCGGAGTTTAGAACTACTGTATTTATCGTTATGCTATAAAAATTTTACACTGAACTTTCAGTTCCTAACGATTGCACTTAATCGATTAAACATAGTTTATACGATTACGGTTAAACGGTCAAACGATTATACGATTATTAATCTTGATTAATGTTAATCGTGTAATTAAGCAACGCAATTAGCCGCCAGCTTAATTTTTCGCGGTTCCAATCCCTAACTTATTGGATGAATACAAATTAAAACGTCAATTTTTGCTCAAAAACAACTACAACGGGACTGTCTAATTCGGTGGCACAAAGACAAATAAATCGCATGTATCTGGCACGTACTTCGTAAGTAGGTTAGACCCGTGACCCGTCGGGTCAAGACTAGCAACCAACCGGGTATCCGAATTGAAATCGGGTGACCCGGTTACCC